GGAGCTCGGATTTCCCTTCCCCTTTCTTCCTGTCGAGGTCTAGGGTTAGGGTTTGCATCGACCACAACCGGCTGCTGGAGCCTTGTCTCGACAGCCTCCATCCTCGTGGCTTGCTCGGCAAGCCTTGCTGTTTGCTCTTCTTGAGCACGAGCAATGTTCTCCAATTGATTTCTGATCGCTTCGAGTGCTGCTTCCATCCTTGGTAGGCAAGAAAAGTCCAAGAACACACGAACTTAACAAGAACTCGCACAACCTGCTTCTTGCCTCGCGAGAAACACCAAGAACTCTCAAGAATAAACAACCTCCTGTCTTGCGGCTCAAGAACACGCCAAGACCTTCAAGAACTCGCACAAAACCACCAAGAACACAAACAAGAACACACAAGATCTTCAAAAAAAAACTTCAAGAACACGCCACTGATTTGAACCTTAGCTCTGATACCACTTGATATAATCAAAGTTGCGCAGGGTCAAGCTTCTCGAACCAAACAGAACCGGATAGGATGGAAAGCGATCGGACAGTACTCACCCGTGAATAAGGGCAATCGATATATGAATCGATCGGACAGATTCAACTCGGAATAAAGGGCAATCGATATGGGTAGCTCGCCACAACCAGGGTGATTACCTAGCTGATAAGAGTCGCTCTAGCACTCTGGAGATTCTCGACAGAGTAATTAGGGCAAATTCCGCGAAGGGAACTCGGCTTTAGCCTCTGACATTCAATAATAATCGTCTAAGCGCAAAACCAACGTGTTCAGCCCTTTAAATAGGCAAAATACGACCCAAATCCGACTCCAACATGGAAAAACAATCATAAACCGACTTTAAAACAAGGAAACTCGGAAATAGCCCAGCAAACCCGTTAAGCCTGGACCCGTTAAGTAAACCCGTTATGGCTGCTTCTTGCAATCTGCCTTCTCTTCAGCACTTCCTCCTTCTTCCTCCACTCGAATCATCATATATGGCTTCCCTCGAAATAACTCCACATCCATGGCTCCAAAGTAGCTATCCAAATATGTCGCAAACTTCTCCTTCAATGTCCTTGCCTTAGCACGTGTGACTGGCCCATTGATGTCCTCATCAGTATTTCAATCATGGATTACGAAACCGTACCGGACATCAAACCGAAATCTTTTTTGGCATGGTAAATCGTGGTACAACCATGGTTCAACCGTTTCCTACCGGTAAATACCGTTTTTGGAATAAAAAAATTATTTTTTTGTTAAAAAACCGTACCGACAAAATTAGGGTACCATGCCGGGAAAATACCGGAATAAAACCGGATTATACCGCCTAAGAAACTGTAAAAGAGTAAATAAGCTTAGGTAACATTCAACAAAGTGCGAGATTTCAATACCTAATAAACCTCATAATCATCCAAATACATTTTTAGAAACTAGTACAAAACCACAAGCTTAATGTTCCACAAACCACAAGTTCAATGTCTCAAACTAGAAAGTAGAAACTACTAATTGGATCTTTTGTTTGAAATCAAATCCATATCTTCAAGCAACTCCAAATGTAGAAAAGTCAACATTCGGGAACTCGTCTCCTTCATCTTCTTCATCACTAACTACAATACCAAAAAAAAAAAAAACAAGTAAGAAGCATTATAAAGTATGACGTATTAGAATTCACATCATAATAACTAATTCACACACCTTCCTCTGCAAGTGCTCGATCGAGCTCATCAATATCCAATTCCTTGTCTTTAGAAGATGCCCCTTCATTATCTTCTATCAACCACTCAGTAGTAATATCAGAATGAATGCTTTCAAGAGAAATTGGATCATACGATTCTTTGTTCTTCATGGCATAATACTCTCTAGTCAAAGTAGAATGCATATATTGATTCAGTTCAATAGTAAATATAAAAACTAGAACAAGTAATAATTCACAAGTTTATTCATACCTATTCTGTAGTTGCAAGTTGTAATTCACAAACACCAAATCACTAAGCATTTTGTGCTGCAATTTGTTTCTTCTTTTGGTGTGCACACGTTCAAATACACTTCAATTACGTTCACAACCAGAAAAAGAAGCAGTTTGGCTAAGAATGTGAATAGCCAACTTCTGCAAATTCGGAGCATCAATACCAAACCATTTCCACCACTTATCTGCATATTAAGCATACATGTTAGTATCTCAATTCTTAATAAACAGAACTAGTATTAATGTACATAAATTCAATTACCTGGTTGTAGCTGTTGCGCAGAATCAATTGCTTGCTTCCTCCCAAAATTACCTTTTAGTTCAGAATACAAAGTCAGCTCCTCAAGCACCACATTTGTATCAGGACATAAGGATTGGTTCTCAAGAAGATCAAGAATGCCATTTCTAATAGGCCTTGTATCTTCAAAATCGTTGGCATACTTGAAAGCCAGATTAAGGAAGTATGATGCCACAATGAGATCTAAGATTCTCAATCAGTATCTGACATTCTTTCACAATGCTATCCAATAAAGTAAACCTCAAAGCATAATATGTAGGACCACCATAACCAGGACCAAGGGTTAAAGAAGCATCCAATGCAATTTTAAACTGTGGAGATTTAATTGCTTCTAAAGGAACACATGCATCATAGAACCATCTAGCCCATGCTCGATCTACATACAATACAGCTTCTTTAGTTGCTAAGGCACTCTTTATTCCCGGTTGGCTACCAGAAGTTGATCGTGGAGCAAAGAAAGTTTCAACTGATCGAGTAGACACATTTGTGGAAGTAGCAACTCTTTTAGAACTATTACCATCATCATGTGCACTAGAAGAACTAGTCTCACGAGGTTCTTTAAATCCAGCTTTGATAAGTTCAGATTTCTTCTTATTAGCTTCAAAATCAGTCAAAAGTTTGTTCAAGTTTTGCCTCACCTAAGGAGGAACCTTTCTACATACAGCATTATCCCCACTAACTCCAGCTAGATGTTTTTTCATTCTAGTGATTCCTCCACCTCTGAATACTTTCTCACAATATATGCAAGTGCATACCTCAACCTTTCCCTCAAGATGAAAGGTACAATGATTCCAAGTCGGATCAGTTTTGGCCCGTACATTCTTTGTTGACACTCGTGGTGTACTAGAAGCTGCTCCTTGCTCAACTGCCGGGATTTCTTCCCCGCTAGCCATTGCTGTCACAATAAAAACAATAAACATAATGTTAGTAAACACCCACAAATTTTGTACTACGGATCTTCATTCACTTTAGGTAAAATGTGGTAACCAGCAAACCAATGACAATGTGTGAGCGTGGGATTTCCTTCATCAGATTCGATGATATTAACATGTTTTAACATACCCGGAAAGCACAAAAGGCACGATAGCAGCAATTACAAAAGCATGTTTCGGATTGGTCTTTGCAACTTTCAAATTCTTTGACGACCTAATTTCCCCCCAAAATGTTCAATTACAAAAGCATGTTTCGGATAGCAGCAATTATTAACCAAGACCAACCTCATATCTGGCGACTGGCGATGTGGTGAAAAGAATAAGGGACAACCTACCTATCAAAAGTAGAATAGAAGCAGTGACAAAGGGAGATGGAGAAAACAAACACTACCTCTAATCTCAGTGTGTAGAAGGTATCGCGGCCAGGAAAGACGAACGAAGCTCCTCTTTCTCCTCCGGCGCGGCGCGGCTGTGAACGACGATGTCTTCGGTTGCTGGGGAGGACGAGTCGCCGGTGGTGTTTGGTTGCTGGGGAGGACGCTGTCGCCGGTGGTGTTTGATCTCTAGTATGAGAAAATGGAAAGGAGTTCGAGAGGCAGAGCGGCGCGGGGGAGACGAGAGTGTAGAGAGAAGAGCGCTAGCAAGGGCCAGCCGAAGGTAGGGTTTCGTCTCTGCTTCTCTTCCATTTTTTTTAAGCTTGGTCAAAACGGTGCCGTTTGAGTTAAATTAAAGGGACCACCGGGTTTATTAAAACCGGCCGAAATTTCGGCCCATTATGGTCCAACCGTAAATACCGCCCGACAGGATCTTGAAGTAGGGGTGGCTATACGGTCCGGTCCGGTTAAATTGGACCAAATTGATCCGATCCCAATACGGTCTTTTCGGGAATATAAGGACCAAAGATTTGATTGGATACAGTCCGGTCTTGACCCGATCCGGTCCCAATTTGATCTTGATTTTAGGTGTTGGGGGTCTCTTATCCGGTCTTTATCCGGGTTTTTTTTACCTCAAATCTAATCCCGAATATGAGATTGGATTGTTTGCTATCCGGTCCCAGTCCGGTCCCGGTCCGGGTTATACGGTCCAATTTCTGGTAAAACCAAACAGTTCGGGACCAAATAGCCAGCCCTATCTTGAAGGGTACACAACTCCTATTGTGTCGGGCCTGGTCCGGTGTCCGGTTTTTCAGGTCCGACCGGACGGTCCGATCCGGTATCCTGGTCCTTATTTCAATAGGTTTAATTTAAACAAATCTTAAAAATTTTGGTTAAAAAAATAGGGGTAAATGACACATTTGGTCACTGAGATTACTAAATTGTGTCATGTATAGTCACTAGAAAAAATTAATATCAATTTTGGTCACTCGAATTACCGAAACTGGTCAAATTTAGTCACTCTCCCGTCAGTTTCCGTCCAACTCCATTAATGTAGTTGGACGGAAACTTTTGGGAGAGTGACTAAATGTGACATGTTTCAGTAATCCGAGTGACTAAATGTGACATTTTTCAATAATTCGAGTGACCGGAGTTGGACAGAGGCTACAGAAGAGTGACAAAATGTGACCTGTGTCAGTAATTCGAGTGACCAAAATTGATATTAAATTTTTGTAGTGACCAAATATGACACGATTTAGTAATTTCAGTGACCAAATGTGTCATTTAAAAAAAAAAAAAAGACATTACTCTCTTTTTTACAATTGCGTGTTTTCTCAAAACAGGCATTTGGCCAGCGCCCCATTCGCAAGGGATTGGATTTGCAATTTCTCGCAGCTCTTTCCCCTTGACATCACTGAAAACTTTTCTTCGAGACAACTGAACTTCGGTCACGGCGGCCGCCATGGACAACGGCAAGAAGCCTGTCTTCTTAACGAAAGCCGAGAGGGAGAAGTTAGCCATCCAGCGTCGCCAAGAGGAAAACGAGCTGCAGAAGAAGCGCCAGGAACAGCTTCTCGCCGAAGCGAACAGCCTGAAGCCCGTCTCTGCCGACTCCGACCGCCGCGACCGAGATAGAGACAGAGACAGAGATAGAGACCGTGAAAGAGACCGTGACCGAGACCGAGATCGAGATCGAGACCGGGATAGGGATAGAGACAGGGAAAGGGAAAGGGAAAGAGAAAGGGAAAGGGAGCGCGAGAGGGATAGGGATAGGGTTTCGTCGCGGCGAGACAGGGAGCGAGAGCGGGAAGAAGAAGCTAAAGCTCGGGAGCGAGCTCGATTGGAGAAACTGGCTGAGCGAGAAAGGGAAAAGGAGCTCGATTCCATCAAAGAGCAGTATCTCGGGTCGAAGAAACCTAAGAAGCGAGTGATCAAGCCGAGCGAGAAGTTCCGATTCTCGTTCGATTGGGAGAACACGGAGGACACTTCGCGGGACATGAATGTTCTCTACCAGAACCCTCACGAGGCGCAGCTGTTGTTTGGCCGAGGGTTTCGCGCCGGAATTGACCGAAGGGAACAGAAGAAGCTTGCTGCCAAGAACGAGAAGGAGATGAGGGATGAAATTCGGAAGAAGGAAGGCATCGAGGAGAAGCCAGAGGAAGCAGCTGCACAGAGGCTGAAGGAAGAAGCTGCTGAGATGTATGATACTTTCGACATGAGAGTGGATAGGCATTGGTCTGAGAAGAAGCTGGAAGAGATGACCGAGAGAGATTGGAGGATTTTCAGAGAAGATTTCAACATTTCCTACAAGGGTTCCAAGATTCCTCGCCCTATGAGGAGCTGGATGGAGAGCAAGCTGAGTCCAGAGCTCTTGAAAGCCGTGGAAAGAGCTGGATACAAGAAACCTTCACCGATTCAAATGGCTGCCATTCCACTTGGTATGCGCCAGCGAGATGTAATCGGTATTGCCGAGACTGGTTCTGGTAAGACGGCTGCTTTTGTTCTCCCCATGCTGACTTACATCTCTAGATTGCCTCCAATGAGTGAGGATAATGAAGCAGAGGGACCTTATGCTGTTGTTATGGCACCAACCCGTGAGCTAGCTCAGCAGATTGAGGATGAAACAGTGAAGTTTGCTCATTATTTAGGTATCAATGTGGTTTCAATTGTTGGTGGGCAGTCTATAGAGGAGCAAGGGCTCAGGATTAGGCAAGGATGTGAAGTAGTAATAGCAACTCCAGGTCGTTTGCTTGATTGTCTAGATAGGCGTTATGCTGTCTTGAATCAATGCAATTATGTAGTTCTTGACGAAGCTGATCGAATGATAGACATGGGTTTTGAACCCCAAGTTATGGGGGTACTCGATGCAATGCCTTCCAGCAACTTGAAACCTGAGAATGAAGATGAAGAACTTGATGAGAAGAAAATCTACCGTACCACTTATATGTTCAGTGCTACTATGCCGCCGGCCGTTGAGCGTTTAGCCAGAAAGTATCTCAGGAATCCTGTTGTGGTCACAATTGGTACAGCTGGAAAAACAACCGACTTGATCTCCCAGCATGTGATGATGGTGAAGGAATCAGAGAAGTTCTCTAGGCTACAGAGGCTGCTCGATGAGCTGGCAGATAAGACAGCGATTGTGTTTGTTAATACAAAAAAGAATGCAGATTTCCTTGCCAAGAATCTAGACAAGAATGGGTATCGTGTTACTACTCTGCACGGAGGGAAGTCTCAGGAGCAGAGAGAGATTAGTCTAGAGGGTTTTAGAACAAAGAGGTACAATGTCTTAGTTGCTACAGATGTTGCTGGTCGTGGTATCGATATTCCTGACGTGGCTCATGTGATCAATTATGACATGCCGGGGAATATTGAGATGTACACTCATCGTATTGGACGTACTGGGCGTGCTGGAAAGACTGGTATTGCGACAACGTTCTTGACTTTTCAGGATACTGATGTGTTCTATGACTTGAAGCAGATGCTTGTGCAAAGTAATAGTGCTGTGCCTCCAGAATTGGCTAAACATGAAGCTTCGAAGTTCAAGCCTGGGTCGATTCCTGATAGGCCTCCTAGAAGAAATGACACAATCTTTACTCACTAGACTTTGTGGTAATTGATTTCAATTTGAAGTACTTTCTGAACACTATTTACTTTGGAACACTCTGTGGTAGCCTGGGAGGTTTCCTGCTTTCTGTGTTATGTTACCTGATTCTGGTTTGCCGTTTGAATGATGGATGTCTAAAGAGTTACTTCTTCTAGACTTGTTTTGCCATGCTGTGCTGTTCTATGTTCTCTTATCCCGCTGCAGTTTTTCTTAGTGATTCCATTTCTTTCTTTCTTATAAGTATGAGGTTCATAGTTTTTATGTAATACGCATACACGTCATCTTTCTTCTTTTTAGGTGTCGTGGCAAATGTTGTAAGCACTCTGCTGTACCATCTGGAGAGTCATAAGACTCTCTTGGAGAGAAAGGAGTTTCATTAACCGAGGATAGCAGAGGCTTTCATCAACTGGTAGTGGCTCGTGTTTTGAAGGTTAGACATTTCCTTGTTGCTTGAATGAACAGAATACTTGCCAGATGCAATTTTTATGGGTTTTGTACTAGTCTTGTAGTCTTTGATGGATGGAGCCCATGGGTGGTTTCTGCCAACTGACCACCTGAGGGGGATAGATATGGCGATCTAGCCATCGAATGTGGTTGGAATTGGAACTGTGAGCAAACTGGTTAATCATATTGTGGAAGTGATTGCATGCTTGATAGAGCTTTTAGTGCTTGCTGTTGCTGAGGGTTGATATGTGATATTAATGATGGTGGGGCTTGTTAATATACATGCCTTTTAGCTCATTACACCCGGGGGTCTTCAATGAAACGAAAGAGCAGACTTGTTTGTTATTCACACTTTCAGGATACCCTATTATCTATTCACTGTTGTTTTCTTTTCACAACTCCACTTCTATCCCTTTTTTTACTGTTTAGGGAAGCATGTTGGATGAATGACAGTCTAAACTAGATATAAGCTGGATTTGTGATATCATGCTATAGCGGATCATATTGTAAAGTCTACACGTGCTTAAATCTACCTGGTTTTATCATGGATTTACCATGGTTCATGTACCGTTTTTGTTATTGTACGTGGAATCATGGGTTCGTTTTTTAATCGATTTGATGTCCCGTACGAGAATGACCAAGTTGGGCATGTAATTCCCAGATTTGGCACTATGATATCCCCTCATGGGGATAGTCGCTCTTATCAGAATCGCACGACTTAGCTGTAGGTATGGCTCAAAATCAGAAACCAAAATTAGCAAACTTAGTGGACTGCTCGTCGGGCCATACTCCCTGCTATCCGCTCCCGAGCTCCTTGCCCAAGCCAGCACCAAAATCTAACCCTCATTTACTTCTCGATTAGCTGCAAGCCTGAAATTCTTTCCATTGTAGGTTTTGTGACCATAAACAGCTTGGTGCCATATGCGTGCAATGTACAGCCCGAACCTGTGGTTTCGAGTCTTTCGCCTCTCGTCTCAATCCTCTTCGCCATCTTCCAATCCTCTGTTTCCTCTATCCCTCACGCCGTGATTCCACCACAAGTGAGAAATGATTGCCATCGTACTCATCAAGATAAAATTGAAAATTTTCAGTTATTCAACATGTAATTAGTGTATACTTGGTGAAAATCAGCCCTGATTACATAAGAGTTTGTTCAATATTTTGTGTCTTAATTGGATTTGTTTTATGTTCGGTTTCCAACGAATGCTCACCCCTTAGATCAAGCTAATGAAGAAATTGCATATAGAGACGTGTCAAAGGTGCTCTAAGTACTGACCTTCTTCGCCCCCAACCCAAGCATCCAGACCTGAATCTGGGTGTAAGCTTGACCCGGAAGATCCACTGACCTGTTCCGATCCGTCCCGTTTCTGAGGGTCAAGATGAGTTAGTTTGTCTGCAGGGTCAGATTAGGGACGGATAGGGATAATTTATGGTCGGGTCACTTTTTGACCCTGTGACCCTTAGCAACAACAAATATCTCATACCAAAACGTAACGTTTAGGTACTAAATTGTAAAAATAAAAAATTTTAGGTACCAAAACGTAATTTCACCATCAAAATTTATGGACTTATTTGTAAAAAATAAATGTTAGGTACTAAATTGTAAGAAAAAAATATTTTTGTGTATCAAATCGTAATTTATAAAAAAAGTAGTGTGTTCATTAGGGACGACCCGATCCGACTCGACCCTTAAGGGTTAGACAGGATCAAGAAGGAGATCCGAACGGAACGAGACAATTGTACATCTTAACCCTCTAGAGACAGATCAAACAGGATCAAGAACGGGTCAGGACAATTTTCAGTCCTAGACCTGAAATAGATCTAAAGCTTAAGCTGAAACTCCAATGCCCAAAATGATGATGATGTCCCCATAAAAAAAAAAGGTTAAATTGCAAGTTTGGTCACTTGAATTACTAGCAAATTTTACGTTAGCCACTAGAATTACTTTATTCCATCTGTAGTCACTTAAATTAGGTTAACAGTTCAAGTTTGGTCACTGGTCGTTAGTCTCCGTTAACTTTTGTTGATGTGGCGGTCAACTCTAATAGTTGACCGTTAAATGAGTGACGTGGCAATTAAAAAATAATACATTAATAAAATATAATTATTATTTCCTTTTCAGCTAATTATTATAAATTAAAAAAATCCTAAATTTTTTAATTATTATTTTTCTGATGCCCTTTCATCTTCTTCTTCCTCTCGACCCAAACAGGGGGGATTTATATTCTACTATCCATCCCCAAATTGAAAGCAACAGAGAGAACCCCATAAGACCCCAATCTTTGAATCAAACTATCAATGAGGGTGCGTAATCAAATAATTCAACCAATGATTGAACATATGCAATTGACATAGATGGCATCACCACCACCACGGGGCGAGAGGAGGGCGTCGGAAGAGCTGGCTCGCGTTCTGCGAGGTTTATTTGTTCTACTTCGTCGTGGCTTTCTCGGTGTTCGGGTTCGCCATCGCGCTAGTGTTGTTGCAGAGCTCCGTGACTCCGATGATGTTAAGTACTGGCTGGACCGAGCATAGGAGATCAGCGGGGGAAGATATATCTCGAGATTTCAATATAGAGCAAGATATACAGTACCCAGGTAGACTTTTTCCCCATAGTCGGCGGGTTTTGTGTGGAGCTGGGTACAGAAACGAGACACAGGAACACAGATCATCGATCGATGCTTTTGTCGATGGGAGGGTTTTGGATCGGGAATCTATTGGGTTATTGTTTCCAGGAAGATTAGACCTGTCGGCCATTGTGACTGGATCTGGATGCAACGGACAATATTATATCTTCTTCTTTTCTTCCACTGTGTCAATTGCATATGCTCAATCAGTGGTTGAATTATTTGATTTTGCACCCTCATTGATAATTTGATTCAAGATTGCGGTCTTATGGGGTTCTCTCTGTTGCTCTCAATTTGGGGATGGATAGTAGAATATAAATCCCCTGTTTGGGTAGAGAGGAAGAAGATGAAAGGGCGTCAGAAAAATAATAATTAAAAAATTTAGGATTTTCTTTTTTTAATCTATAATAATTAGCTAAAAATAAAAGAATTATTATTTTTTATTATTTTTTAATTGCCACGTCACTCATTTAACGGGCAACTATTAGAGTTGACCGCCACATCAGCAAAAGTTAACGGAGACTAACGGCCAGTGACCAAACTTGGACTGTTAACATAATTTAAGTGACTACGGATGGAATAAAGTAATTCTAGTGGCTAACGTAAATTTTACTAGTAATTCAAGTGACCAAACTTGCAATTTAGCCTAAAAAAAAATGATGATTATGTCGTGCTTATAAAAGTAAAAAAAAAAAAGAGGATAGTAACTTAGTAAGGAACTGTGGGCTGCTGAGCCCAATAAGCCCAAAACGAGTCAGGGAAGTGGCGGGTAGACAAGTCAACGCGCCCAGCCGCCGGCCACCCAGGTGACTGTGAAACCGATTGCCGCCGTTAAGACCCCCTTTTTTTTTATGGACGGCGAAGCCAACAACCAAACGAGAAAACGAATAGTAGAACGAGTTGGTCACGTTTTCATTACAAAATCCAAAACCCCGTTACTCTCTACTCTCTTCCCATCACTTTCTTTCTCTTCCCATACCGTATGATCCCGGACCTCTGCAACAGCGGTTTCCTTCCTCCACCTGCCAACCTCTCTCTCTCTCTCTCTCCCCCATTTCCCACATTTACAAACAAAAAAAAAAAACGGCACCCCCTCATCAGCTCTCCTTCCGCTGTAAAATCCTAATCTCAATTTTTTGGGGAACCCAAGAAAACAGAGGGCAGCGATGGGCGGCGTTGATTTCGAATCTCTATCGGAAGCTACTTCTGGAGCAATAGGATCGCTGCTCAGCACCACCATTTTGTACCCGCTTGATACCTGTAAGACCAAGTATCAGGCCGAGGCTCGCGCCCATGGCCAGCGCCGATACAGGTTTGGGCTCTTCCCCCTCCCTCCATTTCTCTCTGCTTTTCTTTTTTTCTCTTTCCGTTTTTTGGTTGATCTGGCCGGCGGCGTCACTGTCTGAATCTTCTTTATGGTTCGAAAGGCGTGATCTTGCCGTCTAGTTTCCGATTTCCCCCGAATTGGGTCGATTCCGATTATCTGGAGTGACTTTCTCGGTGTGGAAACCATTGAAGAACTGTGCTTTTGCTTTCTTTCTTTCTTGGTTTATTGAGTTTTTGGGTGAAAGATTCTGGGTTTTAGTTTGTTCCTTAGTGTTGGGGATTTGATCGATTGAAATTCAACTAGCTCGTTGTTATGAGGATAGAAAGCTGAACAGAATTTGAGATTTGTTCATTTCAACTAGCTCGCTGTAACCTCAATCCTCTATCCGTTGAATTGAATTTCCCCTGAAAATCCAGTTGTTTGACTGCTTCTAGTAAATTATTACTTTCCAATGACTTTCAATTCTTGAGCAATACAAAAGACTTCTTCTTCGATCATGATTGAACATCTAGAGATTTTGCCACCCTTGAAGTTGATTTTGATGTTGAAGTTTGTTGCTATGTGGGTTTTCATTTTGTCCGTTTATGGTTCTTTTCTGTAGGCATCTATCAGATGTTCTATGGGAAGCAATGTCAAATGGACAATTCCTGTCACTATACCAAGGTTTAGGAACAAAGAATCTCCAGTCCTTTATCTCGCAGTTCGTCTACTTCTATGGATACAGCTACTTCAAGAGACTCTACCTTGAAAAGAGCGGTTCCAAGAAGATTGGAACCAAGGCAAACTTGCTTCTTGCTGCTGCTGCAGGCGCATGCACTGCCATTGCCACACAGGTGAATCTGTCCCTCCATCATACGAGAATGTGACTAGCAGATTCCGTTATGTATTAATGGGTTTGATTGTTATGTTGCATTTGTAGCCATTAGACACTGCCGCCTCGAGGATGCAGACCAGTGCATTTGGCAAGTCGAAAGGGCTCTGGGACACACTGACGGAAGGGGACTGGAGTAATGCATTCGATGGCCTCGGTATCTCTCTCTTGCTGACATCGAACCCTGCAATTCAGGTTCGTGTGACTGGTACGGTACCCTAAAGGAGCTTTAAAGGAGTTATTTGGATTTTGGAAATGCTGAATTGAAAACTGATGGAATATAACAAAACTCATGGATTTGGAAGATGATGGATGGACTGTAACACCTTGGATTTTCAATTTTGTGTTGTTTGGATGTTTGAGTTTAAGTGCAGATTGTAATAAATGGATTCTGACTTTAAATCTAACAGAATTATACACCAAAAGGTTCCCTAAGTGAATCTAGAGGAATAAATTCTCTAAGTCTAAAGCTTGGGCTTGCTTGTTCTGTGTGTGTAGTATACAGTGTTTGATCAGCTCAAACTAAAGCTTCTAAAGGGGAATGAAGCTAGCCTTTCTGCATTCACAGCATTTCTCTTGGGTGCATTGTCGAAGAGCATCGCCACCTGCTTAACTTATCCAGCAATCAGGTGCTTATGAACCCTCTTCTCTAAACTCCAGTTTCAAATCCATGATCAGTGTGAGAGAAGGGAATAATAGGTAAACTTGAGACCTTTTGTTATTTCAGATGTAAGGTGGTGATTCAAGCTGCAGACACCGACGAGAATGGTAACGATGATGACGATAAGAACAAGAAAGCCAAACGGAAGGCAAGCAAGACGCTGTCGGGGGTCGTGTTTGCAGTATGGCGGAAGGAAGGGATTACAGGGTTCTTCAAGGGACTGCAAGCTCAGATCTTGAAGACGGTGCTGAGCTCAGCTTTGCTTCTGATGATCAAGGAGAAGATCGCTGCCACAACTTGGGTTGTTCTACTTGCAATCAGAAGGTCACTCTTGGCTCAGAATGGCAGGCTAAAAAGTGCTTGAGGAAGAACAAATAATGCCCCACGAACTTTCAAGGGGAGTTTGATGGTTTTGTACATATTCAGTAGCTCTATGAGAAAGGCAGAAGCAGTCTGAGTTTAGAGTTTTCCTGGTTCAGTATCAACGGACACACACAGAGCTGGGAATCAGCTTTAGAGAATAAAAATACACTATATTTTTTTCTTCTATTCAAACTGAGACCCCTTTGTTTTGGGTGTTAATTCTTGTTTGTTAGCGGAATAATTTTGACGAGGGAAACGTACAATTTTCTGTAACCGAGGGTGATTGTTTGAACTTTGTATAATGCTGTTTGTTCTGAGGGCGAATTGCCAGTTTCTTTTCATACCATTTTGAGATATTCAAGAGTGAAAATGTGACCAATTCGGTATTATTGGTTTAAATCTAGTTCCAACCGGCAACCATTAAGAATGATGCAAAGACTGTACAATTTGTCTACCTAGCAAGGCTACGTGTGTCCAACCCATAAAATGGGTGCACAATACTACAACATTATCGTATTAGAAATTTGTTGGCGCAAAGGCGCACTACGTTAATATTGTACAAAGATTAGCATCTAACAACTAGATAATAAATGTCAATATATTATGGATGAAATTTCATGAGCTAGCTAAACAATTGACCATAGAACTATGCATCATATCCTACAGGTAATACGAATCTTAATCTCAATAACATTTAGGTCAAAATTGTAAAAATCAACTGTCTTGTTTTTTTTTTTTTTTTTTTTTTTTTTTTGACAAAAGGCAGTGCTTTTCCATTAATATCAGAAGAATTCAGATAGGTTACAGGAGATGAGAGATGACATCAAGGATCTGAACCCAATGGCTAGGAAGAATATTTTTTGCCCGGGATCTCGCGACCCAATTGGCTTTTACATTCTCAGCCCTTTTGATATGATTGATGCTGATCCATGGGTGATCCTCCAGTACCTTTTTGATACTCCCAATCCACGCCGATGCCCGCCATGGCCAGAGACTCTGTTTTCCTTGAATTGCCTTGATGAGATTGAGGCAGTCAGATCGGACCAGACACGGGCTGTTGAGTCTAGTAGCCATTAGCGTACCTTCCATTAGCGCTTTTGCTTCAGCTTCAATCGGTGAAAAGCAGTGCAGAGGCTCAGCTACCCCGTCACAAACTTGTCCATGGTCATTCGTGACAACGATGCCATACGCCGCCTCTTGAGATTCTTCGAAAAAAGAACCATCACAGTGTATTTCAAATTCATGAATACATGGCGGTGGAGAAGGATGTTCTTGGGATGGAACTAGCTGAGTAAGAAGTGGCGATGATGATGGGAGCTTTGGGCAAGCTTCCCATTGTTGTGCTTCCAGAGTGGCCCTAGAAATGGTTGCTGGTGGCCATGGTGCCTTTCCCCTGAAAATAAACTCATTCCTCGTCTTCCAAACTTGCCAGAGCAGGAAAATGACCTTCTGGATTCGGTTCAAAGGATACCTGGATTGGAGGGAGGCGAGCCATTCTAAAATGGTGGTGGATGGTGGGGGGATGGTCAAACCCGGCCAATCTTGGTCCCATCCAGCAGCCGCATGCGGGCAGTAGAATAGGGTATGGTGGATAGATTCCGTTGGGTCAGCACAAACCGGGCAAACTTTAGATGGGGAGCATTTTCGGGAGAACAGGTTCTCCTTCGTTGCTAGGGCCCTTCTGGTGCACTTCCAGATGAAGAACTTCAGCTTGGGAGGCAAGGAGAGACTCCACAACCATTTCCACCTATCCTTGCTGCTAGCGTCAATTGAGTGGTATCCCTGTTCCCTTCTCTGGTTATTGTGGAACATTCGGTAGGCCGATTTGACTGTGAATTCTCCATTATCCGTGTACCGCCACACCCAAATGTCATCAAGGGATTCGGGGCCTATGGGGGTAGCAGCCACCTGTTTCAGGTCCATAGGGCTTAGGTACCCTGCCAGCAGGTCAAACCTCCAGGCTCGATTTATACCATCAATCCACTTGTCAACCATGGAAGCATCGGGCCAATCGAAATCAAGCAATCGACCTGGTCTATCAAACCTCCATGGATCTGGGAACATCCTTGTCGCCTTACCATTGCCAATCACCCTTATGATACCCTGTTTCATCCATTTCCTTGCTTCACAGAGGCTAGACCAGATCCATGAGGCTTTTCCCCCTTTCTTGGCAGACAAGAAATCCCCTTTGGGAAAATAAATACTTTTCAGAACCTTCACCCAAAGGGCGTCCGGGTTGGTGAGGATTCTCCATGCCTGCTTAGCCAGCAGAGCAAGGTTAATCGTGCTGAATGGCCTAAAGTTGAGGCCCCCCTCCTCCTTAGGGGCATACAGAACATGGGCAGCTCTCCAGTGTATAGTTCTTTTGGACATCTTCCCGCTCCAGAAGAAGTTCCGAAGCATGGAATCCATTCTCTTAGTCATCGATCTAGGAAGCAAGAAGAGGCACATGATGAAAGATGGCACCGCCTGAAAAACTGCCTTGAGGAGAACCTCCTTGCCTCCCGGGGAGAGGAGGAGACTCTTCCACGATTCCCCTTTTGCTTCCATTCTTTGAAGGAGGAAATGGAAAGTCTCCTTTTTTGACCGGCCCCATTCAGTAGGGACTCCTAGATATTTGGAGTGGCATTGGTCCGCCACAAAGCCAGTGCTCTGGATAATGAGACTCTGTTCAGGAGGCGGAACATTTGCACTGAAGAAAAGCGATGATTTTTCCCGGTTAACCTCCTGGCCCGTCAGCGAGCCATAGTCATTAAGGATGTTCAAAATATGATCCGCTTCCCTCTGTGATGCTTGCCCGAAGATAACAGTATCGTCAGCAAAAAGACAATGGGTGAGGGTCGGGCAGTCCCTGTTAAGTTTGATACCTTTGATGCTCTGTTCTTGCGTAGCCTTGTCAATTAGGAAAGAAAGAGCATTAGACATGAGGATAAAAAGAAGTGGGGACAGAGGATCCCCCTGACGGATGCCTCGAGATGGTGTGAATTCAGTAGATGGAGTTCCATTAAGCAAAAGCTTAAACTTCACAGTTGAGATGCAGGCTCGGACCCATCCACACCAGGTGTCACTGAAGCCATAGGCTTTGAGGAGGAAGATGAGGGAATCCCATTCAACCAGGTCGTAGGCCTTCCTCATGTCAATTTTCATCAACATGTCTTTACAGTTCTTGGTCTTGTTCTTCTTGAAGTGGTTGAGCACCTCATGTACTAAAATGATGTTGTCTTGAATTTGTCTTCCCCCTGTAAAGGCAGATTGTAATTCATTAACCATAGCTGGTAGCCACGGTTGTAATCTAGATGTCATGATCTTCGTGATTACTTTGTACCGAAAATTGCACAAGCTAATTGGTCTGAATTGGCTAATCAACTCGGGTTGGTCCACCTTGGGAATGAGGGAAATAAACGTGTCATTCCATCCTTCAGAAATGAATCCTGTTCTGAAAAAATCAATGACCTCCTTGCAGAGGGAGTCGCCAAGAACCGGCCAAAAGGTGCGAAAAAAATGCCCAGGGAATCCATCTGGACCCGGGGCCTTATTTGGACCAAGCTGGAAAACTGCCCTGCGGACCTCCTCTTTAGTAATATCTGCCGTCAAAAGGTGATTAACCTCCACTGAGACCAATGGTGGGAAGCCTGACAACAAATTGCCATCGAAAGAGGCACCTCTGCTCTGAAACAGCTTTATGTAGAAGTCATTCGCATGATCATGTATCCCAGCTGGGTTGTCGATCCAGTTTCCCAATGTATCTTTCAGTTTGGAGATTCTGTTGTGGTGTTTTCTTCTGATAGTAGAGGCATGGAAGAACCCTGTGTTCTGGTCTCCTTCCTGTAGCCATCCATTTCTCGACCTCTGAGCCCAAAAAGATTCTTCCGAAGTCCACCACTTATCAAGCTCCAGCAGGAGATCCCTCTCCTCAACCAACATAGCCTGTGTCCTGACAGGACCCTGGATTTCCTGCAGCCTCATTCTGATTTCCTGTTCCCTCTTCTGACTCTGCATCCTGTCCTGTTTAGCCCAATTTATAATGGATCTTCGTACATCATTGAGATTCCCTTGTACGGTCCCTCCGGATCCCCAGTTCTCATTGATGATCTGCTTGCATTCATTATTATCCTTCCACCTCTTGTCAAACCGGAATGGAGTATTGATTGAGGGCTGATGGAGGTGAAGGTCTACCCTGATTGGGCAGTGATCAGATTCCACGAAGTCCTCATGGAAAACTCTGGCTTGCTCAAAACATCTGAGCCAGATCGCATTACAAAGAGCCATGTCGAGTCTCTCCCTGATTAGGTCGTCTCCCTGTTGATTATTGGACCAGGTAAAGATCTCTCCAGAAAACCCGAGGTCAATCAATCCATTCCTTTCCATGAAGTACTTGAAAGGGATCACATTTTCATTACGAATGGGGCACCGCCCCTGTTTTTCACAAGGCATTAGAGCCACATTCAGATCACCTACAATAAGCCAAGACTCGTCCTGAGTCTCCCTTAAACTCGTGATTCTTTCCCACATCATCCTTCTCTCTGCCGCCGTGGCAGGAGCATGGATCAAAGTACAGAAAAACACCACCCCATTCTGGCTGATCCTAATATCAAAATAGTTCTTACAGCTATCTAGAATTTCAACTTCCACATCATCATTCCACCACACAGCAAGACCACTTCCTTCTCTTTCTGGACTAACATACTCCCCATGATCAAACTTCATAGCTCTTCTTTTACTTTCCATGAAATTTCCATCCTTCTTGGTCTCCATCAGAAAGAGAATTGAGGGTCCAAGCCGGCGGCAGAGACGGCCGCAGTAGCTCCTTGTAAGGGATTGGCCAAATCCCCTACAGTTCCAGCTGATAATTCTCATTCGAGGTTTGGCGGCTTGAGGCTTGCCGCCGACGCCCTCGGAGTGATTGATTCTCCTTCTCCGGATTGGGTCACCTCTGCTGCGATGTCTGTCAAGTTCCTCCTCCTTATCAGGTTCCTCCTCCTCTGGTAGGTTTTTCTGTTCTCCCCTGTGGCAAAAGAAAGGGCATCAAAAGACAGGTTAGTAGTTGGGTCCTGCTGGGGCAGGGAGAAGCTGCTTGGGCTCCTGTGTTCTGGCTTCCTTTTTTTCTCGGGCCTTGGCCTCTCCTCCTCTCCAATATGGGCCTGGGCATCTTCAACTGTTGGGTTGGTGACTGGGATTGGCACCTGGGCTGTCTGGGCCTGCAAGAGTGGTATGCCTTGGCTTTGCTCGTTGACCTGGGCTGGGGTGGGAGATGGGTCAGCCCATGAGTAAGTCGGGCTCGCCAGGGATAGGCCCAGGCCCATCTCTACGAGGCCAGCATTGACTTCTCTCCTGCTTTCCCCTTCCCTGAGGTCCAGCCCTCTTTGCATGGCTGTGGCTGCTGCCTCCATTTCTCTTTCTAAGCGATTTGGTTGGCCCGATGAAGATCCCATATCTCCTCTGTACATCCAGTCTGAGTTCTGCACTGGCAAAGGTAAAGCTGTGAACCCGGGGGGGTTTGACATATTCCCTGCCACCGATCCTGGCACAGGGTGGCCCATCAAGGTGAGGATTGGGGAATCCCTTCTGACTCCTCTGTTCTGTTGCTGTCCAGCACTGTTGCTCGTCAGGCGGCGCATGTTCGCCAGCTTCTCCCGAAAAGACGCCGGCGGAATGTTCGCCGGAGAATCATGCCCAGCTTTGAGGGCATCCGTGTAGACTTCCGATGGATCAGTACAAAGCCCCTTCCTTCTATTTTCTTCTCGCTCGAGGCAATTGTGGATCAGATGCCCAAGCTTTCCGCAGAAATAGCATAGATCCATGATTTGTTCGTACTTGAAACTGACCCAAATCGATCTTTCCCCAATTGGGTATTCGAAACCTATGGGAATAGGCTCGTCAAGGCTGACTTCGACTTTGGCTCGGATGAACTTCAGCCACCCTCTGAATTCGAAGTTTGACTGGTCGATGGAGTGGTACTGGGGGAAGATGAATGAGGCCACCGCCTGGATTGCTTCTTCGTCTTTCAGCGATTGGGGCAGGTCGTGCATTTGAACCCACAAGGTGACTGTGGGTATATCCTCTATCTCCGCCTTTTGCTCTCCATCCCACTTCTTGAGAGCTATCATAGTGTTGCTGAGATTCCAAGGCCTGGCGTCGAAGACTGCGTCTCGTTGTTTTGCCGATTGGAAAGAGTAGACAAACAGATTCTCCGCCTCCTTTGTTGCCTGAACTTCTCCATAGGCCCTCCACTTTTGCATCGCTGCATTCTTTGCTTTTTGGAGGTTGATGGACGAATCTGTTACCCATCTTCCTAACAGCATCGCCATTCCGCTACCCCTGGCTCCCACCACTGTTGGTCGGACATTGATCACCAGGTGGCTCTTTTCCCCGCGGAGACTCCTAGCGTGCATCTCCATGTTGGTGGGCTTAGTGAGAGTGGAGTGAAGGAGGGAAAACAGTATTTCAGTAAACTTGCTAGTTGAGAGGTTTTTTTCCCCGGTTGATATGGAAAGCAGGTGATTGTGTGGAACAGCTACTGGCGTTCCCTCCCTTAAATAGGCCTTGTTTCTCCTGGTTAGGTGTTCTCTGTTCTTCCTTTGAGGAATAAATGCCCCCATCTTTAATGTGATAGTCAGCTGCCGCCCTCTGACCTTCCTATCTGTCGGTGCTCCTTTTGGAAGCCCTTTGAGGTGGTATCTGCATGCCATTAATGGATTGATACAGCTCCCCAATGGTAGCCCGTTGTGATTCCGTGGGGTTTTCCTCCTGCATCTGTGTGCAGCGCCCTGACTCCATCTTCCTCTGACATCAGTGGTTTCTTGCTTCCTTCTGTCTTTGTTGCCGCTCCCTATGATTCTTGGTGCGTTTTCCCATGTCTCCCCTCCAAGATCCTTCCGTTCATAGATGGTCAGTAGCTCTCTGTCTTCCGGAGATATCTTCCCCTGACCAACATTTATTCCTTCTTCCTCTTCCTTCTTTGCTTTGATCTTTTCTGGAGCGTCATTACTCCCACTATCACTTCCTTGTCCATCAATCAACCTCGGTTCAGGTGGTTTGGGCGGCGGAGTAATGGCTGACCGTAGCTTGCTATCTGTCCTCCGTCCTTCCTTATTGGTCCAGTCGGAGGATGGGGGGGATGAGGCCCATAATTGGTAAATCTCGGCATTTAACTCTCCATGATCTAGCTTGATTCTATTGCCTTGATTGCAAATGGACGATTGGGTATCTCTGAGGGCTCCGCAGACGGCAGCTGGAAAAGATCTCCGGTGGAGATCTGGAAAAGTTATCAATAGGGGGAAAGAAGGAGGGGTAGAGAGAGAGAGAGTCATCGCTTTGTTTGAAAGAGAGTTTGGTGAGCTTAGTTGGTGGGTAGCTCGAGCAAGTATTTCCGATAGTTTAGTTTCTGTCATGTAATGACGTCTTTGTTAACCAATCAAGATTATTTTTGTTGATAAATGGATGCAGTGCGTCTTAACTTCCATTAAAAAAAAAAAAGGTTCGGAGATCCCCGGACAATGATGAAACGAGCCAGTAACCAATCAAGACATCAATACAAGTTGTTATAACCTTTTTTACGTGTAATTATGTCACTTTGCTTTGTAAGCCAGATAAGATGACATGTGGTTTTTGCAATAAAACGTCGGGTCATTTTATTTAAAATAATCGGCCCATTCAGACCCATATCCATCAATTGCCTATCGGATCACCTTAGCCCATTCCCGCCGGGAAGAACTCTCAGCTCCCCGGCCATTTTCCCGATTGGCCAACGAACATCGTGACGCCGACTCGTAGGGCTGCAAATGAGCCAAGCTACTCGCGAGCAACTCGAGACTCGAATAGGGAAAAGCTCGTTCGAAACTCGATTCGTTTACTGACGAGCCAAGCTTGAGCTTAGCTTTGTTCAGCTCGTGAAGCTCGCGAGCTAGCTCGACTCGGTGGCTTGTTGAGCTCAACTCGTGAGTTGGCTCATTTAGAGCTCATGAGATGTCTCAACATTTTGGTTTTGAGGGCCAACTTGATCACTGACTTATGGACTAATCGATCTAATTTGGACTTTCATAATTCATAGGATTGTTAAATTATATATCTCACATCATGTGAAGTTTAACATGTTGAACATGTAAGAAAATATGCCTTATTTTTAATTCTATAAAGAAATTATGTAAAAAATTGTTTCGATACTATGAAATAACATGATTTGAACTAGTTAAAATTTATTAACTAAATAATATGACACCTAAAAATTATAATATAAGATTAATTAATGCTGAACATTTGATTATTTTTTTATCGCTACATCAATCACATGTACCATACACGACATACAAAATGAATGTATTAAATACGATCTGAGAATTTAGTAAACAAGTCTAGCTCGAACTCGACTCGACTCGGCTCGTTAATAAATGGCTCGGGCTCGAGCTCAGCTCATTTGTTAACGAGTCAAGCTCAAGCTTGGGTAAAACTCGGCTCAGCTCGGCTCATTTGCAGCCCTACCGACTCGTCGCCAAACAAGTTAAAATAAAACAAAAAGAAAACAAATAATTAAAAAAAAAAGAACTAACTCTCTCAAATAAATAAATAAATTATTATCCAATTAAATTCGATAAAAACGAACGCCGCAGCGAAGAGAAATAGAGAGATCTGTTTGTTCTCTGAGAAAACGAACAGAGAAAATAGAGAGAGAGGAGATTAGAGAAGGGAAGGAAAGATGATGTCCGGAAACTACACTCACATTGACAATCAGAAGGTCTCGGGATCTGTAGCTGTAAGTAATAAACCTCTTCTTCACTCCTACCTTTCGGAGTTCTCGCGGATATCCGATTCGTTTCGTAATTCACAGTTCCAGATCTGATAAGCTTTGCTTGGGTTTATCTTTTTTGTTTTCCAATTTGATTCGTCTCTAGGCGGTTACGGATCCAGGGCACATTCCAGTTCAGTTCGCAGGTACTTTATCATTCCGATTTTCGTTTCTGTATCGGCGGTGGCGGGAAAATTTGTTAGAGATTAGATGAGAAATGTGAGAGGTTGAATCGGGCCGGTGATGAATCTGGGTTCAGAATTATGGAATTTTAGAGGGATCGAGGGAGAATGGAGGGTCTTTCTCATTCCTTCTGTTTTTGTGTTTTCTTCAGCAATTTGATTTGAATGTTTGATGTGTAGAGTCGAATCTGCAAACTTTTCCGCCCTCTGGCGCTCAGGGAAAGATCAGTAGTGGATCCAGGCCTCCGCGCGATGCTGATGGTAAGTCTTTGTTGAAATTCTGCTTAGCTTTATGGCCTTTGAGATCTTGAACAAAGGATTGGTGATGTGTTAGTGAAGCACAAACTGTACTGTAATTAGCCAGAAGTCTGGTTTACTAGAATATTTGGACTTTGAACTAGAACGGGAAATGTTTTGTGTAATTGTAGAGATTATATTTGAGTTGGGATCCTGTAGTACTTCATTGGATGCAAATCTTTTCCAAGTAAACGGTCAGTTGTGGGTCACTGAACCATCAATCTTGTTGAAAATAACTCTGAAGTCTCTGGCTTTCTGAACTTGAGAGCTTTGAACTAAAACTGAAATAGTTTGCTTTGTTGCTATCCATGCATTCTCGATTTTCATGGAATTTGACACATTATATTCGAGTTGGGATTCTTCAGTACTTTGCAATGAGTAGGGGAAAAGCTTTTGCCAAGGGGAAGTGATGTCTTTGATAATTAATTATTCTCAATTACTCAGGAGAAGATTGTGTGGATACTCATAGCCACAAGTTGCTATTTATCTTGATTTGTTAAGTTTGGGCCATTTGAGGTCTTCCAACCCGTATGCTATCCACTATGTCTGTTGCCAACATGAAAATAGCTTCGTTTTGAGTTTCTTGGGAAGTTGATACTTCCTGGGATGTGTGGATTGTAGCATGATGGAGTTTGTTATATCATCTTGTCAGGCAGAGTGAATGACTGTATATATTTGCAGATTCATTTTCAAAACCAGTCAATGGTACAGATGAACCGCAGCAGCAAGGGGGTTGGCTTCGGGTGTTCTCGGTTGCTTCATACAAGCCATACTTTGATGTTGATACTGTAGATGTTCTAGAGAGAATCAAAGATTCACTTTTCCCATTCAACGGTTCCTTCAACGAAAAAACAGCTGAAAACCCAGATTTGTGAGTCAGCTCTCACTATTCTGTTTCTCCCTTTGAGGCATCAATACTTTCCTATGCTAAAAGTCTATAAGTTGCTTGCAACATTCCAATGTCGAACATCAGAATGTTCCTTATGGAGTAGGTGGCAAGAACTTTACTTGTGTGCCTGTAACTTTCTGTTGTGCAGGTACGGACCATTCTGGATATGCACAACCCTAATTTTCGTAGCAGCTTCAATCGGAACATTTGTGACTTATGTAGCACACAAGATCGAGAAGAAAGAATGGAACTATGATATAAATGTTGTGACTTGGTCTGCCGGTTTGTTCTATGGATATGTCACTCTTGTTCCTCTCGCTTTGTACGTGATCCTCAAGTACTTTTCAGCACCATCAGGCCTTGTCCAGCTCTTCTGTCTTTATGGCTACTCTTTGTTCATCTTCATCCCAACACTGGTGAGTCAAATTTTTTCTCATTGGCCAAGTTGTCGACTGAAGTAAATAGTAGAAGTGGATGTGTTTGGAACAAATTATGAAAACAACTGAATGGGTTATGAAATGATTAGTTGGTTATACAGTTGGTCCTCTTTTTGGCATATGGTATGAAATTTTTCGAGTTATGTGTTAAATGACTAAAATTTCCCCCTGAGTCTATGGAGGTTTTATAGAAGAGAAAAATAATCGGATCATGTCTCTCATGTGCTGTCACAGTGTCTCTCGATTGTGCCCTTGGAGATCTTCCGGTGGATAGTTGCAGGCGTCGCAGGGTTCATGTCAGCATCATTCGTCGCGCTGAACCTCCGAGCCCACATCATGTCGGCAGGGGAGAGGTGGTTCTTGATCGTCGCGGGGATCTTTCTGCTGCAACTAGCCCTGTCCGTCGTGTTGAAGATGTATCTATTCACTGTCACATGGTAACATCGGAGCTGAACCCATCGTTGTCACCGTCCCTGGTTCTTTATTTGAGGCACATGGAGAACTATATGATGTAGATTAGAGGAAAAAGAAAAGAGTTTCCATTTTTGGGTAAAAATATGTTTGTTAGTCTTTCATATGATTCATATACAAGTACAATCATCGCATTGTTCGAAATATCATGGTACGCTTGTGTATTTTGCTCAGTTGATTGATGGGGAGAGTATATAATTCATACTTGATTGATACGACTAGCCGTTTCCTCTTGGATATGCGGGAGACAATTGGGAGTTTGGGTAAATGCCGTACGATTCTGTTTGCTCCTTGATTCAAATTTGGTGCATGTGAGTTCCAAATCGCAGGTACTTTCTGAAGAAAGGCATCTTTGGTTGAATGTTGATGAAAAACGAGGATTCTTGTTTTTCTTGTAACCATAACAAGTCCAGTGAAATAAGGCAGGATGGTAAAACTATCAAATATAGTTTAACTAGACAGACTAATCAGTTAGATTTTTGTAGCGATTTACAACACGAACCTTCTCGTTATCGTGTGTGTGACTCTCATTGTATATGACTCGCACGAAAACTCCTAAATCCAATCCTTGATCAAATTTGCTTTCCTTCGCCTATCGTATGTATCGACTTGACCTCGTCCAGAACATGAAAGTGGGTGGGACAAAATGATCAAGTCAAACATATTAGTCTCATTAATCGCAACTGTGGACAAACCTTAGGAGGACGTTCATATGGCAAACAAGGTTTTACACTAAAAAAGTGACAACTTCCATCATTGCACTCGTGGCTAGTTGCTGACTTGCTTTTTTTGGGTGTTTTGAGGCTCATTTTTGGCCAGTGTTTCTGACTTCCTAATTCTCAATTTTCTACTGTTGTCGAGTCGAGACAAATCTCAAAGGGTAAAATAATGAGATGATGATGAAGAGCAGAGAAGAGAGAGAAGGAAATCAAGAACAGCCATAAGAAGGTCCAAAAGAAGAAACAAAAAAGCACAGTACAATAGAGTGAAACATCTCAACCTAGATCCTAGCCAGAAAAACAACAATCCATAAGATAAAGATGCCTTTCTAGCAAAATAATGCAAAAAAAGGGTGTTTTTACTTCCTTAACTTCCAAGTGAAAGCCCTCCTCCAATCACTTTGAATCCTAGAAGGCCAAAGAAAAGAGACAAGAAAGCTTTAGATTTTGGAATCTCTGAATTTTTATTATTATAATGTTTTGACACATGTATATTGATTAGGTAAATGGTTCGTGCTTTGTTGAGAGAATTGTAATTTAGTCAAGTAAGTTTAAATTTAGCAATTATGATTGACAATGAACCATGATAATGAGGAATTTTACAATGCTTGTAAACAATGAGGTTTTCAGGTAAATTGATTTTCTCTTAGATTTACATTTATTTTCCCTAGTTTAGGGTTTCAATATATTTCTTCAATTTAAACGACTTTCTTGAATTTAATATCTTGTAGCACAATAGTCGTGTATTTTTGGTTGGCCATTTTGCAGATGCTCATATGATATGAAGGCAATTGAAGTAAGTGAAATAAAGTTCATCGATCTATCAGGTGATAGTTCGATTTCATTCTCTTTTATAAATTTACGAGAGTAATTAAGTAATATTTTGTCGAAGATTGCTAATGTAATTTTCTTTTCTTTGTTGTGGCTTTTATGATAACTCGTTACCAGTCATCCGACATACTCCGCCGACGGAAACTACACTCGTCGGCGGGACTATCTTGGAGATGTTGTGTTTTTTCCCCGTCAGTGTCGTGTCTTTGCTCCTCGGAGCTTCTTCAGAGCTGCCCAAGTAGTGGCTTAACAGGCTCTTTCATCGGTAGTCTGGTTGCATACGGACTAACGCCCAGTATTTGAGTTGGTCTTGTAATCGTGTCGAGTCTTTGTCCCATGCCCTTTGGGCTTGCCTTGGATAAAAAAAAAATAAAAAAATGAGGTTTTCAGGTAGAAGTTAATTTTTGTACGATAAAGAAATTTGTACAAAAAATATACAAATTTAATTTGTACGAAAAGATACTGGTACAAATTGAATTTGTACCACAACGTTAAATGTACAAATTCAGTTTGTATCATACGAAAAGTTTAATTGTACCACAACGTTAAATGTACAAATTCAGTTTGTATCATACAAAAGTTTATAAAAAAAATATAGATACAAGTCAAATTTATACCACAACATTAAATAGTATAAATTCAATTTGTAATATGACATATTTTTTTTTATAACGAGAGTACCGATAATTACAAGCATAATAATGAAGCTCGACAATAATATCTACTCCATGAAACCAATTAATAAAGGAAAATTTGTATACGACTAATCGAGACAAACATCATGTCTTATCTTTACACAACAGAAGCATTTGTTTTATAATTGATGAACTGACACCCAAACAGCATTCCAGTTAGTCTCTGAAATTCGTAGTCAAGTAATAAGGCTAAACACTAGACATCAAAATGGCTCTGCCCTCGACAACTGCAGCATCATTACCAAACAAACATATGACCAAACCATGAGACATTACAGTACTTACTGCCTGCTAACTATTCTGCTCTCCTACAAAGGAAGAGTCAAGCTTAAGATCCTGAAATTGAGGCCTTTTTCTGGAAGGCAAACACATCAGAGCAAAAGAGTGCTTCAGTTTGTTTTAGGTTGACAACTGAGATCACAAAACAGAGGTTTTTTTTGGCAGGCATGTCAAATATTTTTTTTCTTCCATATCATATAGTTTTTTCGTGTTTAATTTTCTTGCAAAAAGTATGTTATTGGAACACCATACAATGTTAAAATACATGGTATAATATATTTCAATGCATTGCTTGATTTTCATAATACTCGCATGCTTTTTCATATTATATAGTTTTTTTCGTGTTTAATTTCGTCACAAAATTTATGTTATCCGGACACGAATACAATGTTAAAATACATGGTATTTTAAAAATTTTAACACTTTATTCCGACATTAAATTAGTTCTTATAATCTCACTTACAACATACTTATGTAAACTCTCCAAATGACATCTAATTGGCTCTTTGTTCCCCCCTTTATTACATCCTTCCTCCTTGGTCTAATTTTTCTTCACTTCTAAGGTCTACCTTGGATTAGGGAAGCTTGGTCGGTCATCAAAATTAGAAAATGAAAAACCAGGTTCATACCCAAAACTTGGTATGCAATTTTTTTCAAAATGCATAGCATTATTATATAATTGTGGGACACATTATGAAAAACATACCCATAAGTTAATTTTCTTTTTGTTAATCCATATCCTTGTTCTTATATAGGAGGAGGAATATTGACCCAAAAAAATGTATGCCGTCAGCTTTAACCCCACGTCCATGATAAATCCCCATTTGACTAATTAACATCACACTCTCCTTCCATAAAGAAAGAAAACCCATTTCCTCCCAAGATACCCATTTTGCTCTGAAGTCAAGACCTCTGTTTCTCTCTCTGGCTTCAGAAGCACCATTTTTGCAGAGCCATTTGAGCAAGTACTCCATTGAAGTTTCTTCCCCCAAAGAGGGTTATTATGATAACATCGAAATCGAAAAGGCATCACCTTCATCATCACAAAGTTGGATGCTTTTTGCTGATTCTGATGCTGATGTGTTCTTCACGCCATGGGTTTGTTGGAGCAAGAAGGCTTGTGAGACTGCAGCAGGTTGAAGGAGATGAAACAGAGCATCAAGATCATCATCATGGTCCAACAGTAGGTTCTAGTGAGCAGAGCAACGATGGATTTCATAGTGAAGATGGAGATTTCTTTGCAACTGTGGATCGATCCGTACCTTCTTGCCCCGATCCTCTACACAACAAGTAGGTTGTGATGAAGTTGATGTATTTTTTTTTTGTACTGGAGGAGGATGTTGTTATGAGAGGTAATAATTGAGATGAGTGGGAAATTTTTGTTTCTTTTACCTAAATAGAGATTTCTTTTCTTTCTTCCTTTTAGTTGGTCTTTTTGCTTCCTCTTGAACATGTTATATGTACAAATGGTACTTTCACTACTTTAGTGTAAAATTTTATACAGTGATTTTACATGTAAGAATTATGTTGAAGAGTATTTTATATATACAAAAATTAGTGAGATGAGAAAAGTAAGGGAGGAATTGGTTTATGTGGATCCAAGGCATGCCCATATAGGTTGATCAATAAGTTTGGAGTTGAAAGTGGGTAGGAGAAAGAATTTCAGGAATGCAATGAGTTGGGCTAGCTAGCTGGAGCAATATTGGCTTCTAGTTATTAAGACCCACCCCACAAGAATTAATGCAGCAATTTCTGCTGGAATTGTCTCTTTGGTTTGTTGTTCCCATGGGAAATGATTGGCTTGCCAAATCATAGCTAGCTCGAGCTAGGAGACTACATCTATTGCTTTTGAGAATTCGTTACTTCAAATATTTCGGACTCACATATTCTATACTTTCGGTCGAACATATGTTGTTTCCCCTCACAGTTTGTTAGAGTATATTCTAACCTCATTTTGGTTGAGAATATTCTAATTTCTCTTTAGTCGAACAACTTTGTTCCTTCGTCCTTTGGGCTCACAGATGATAAACTTATCGGTCGAGCTAGTTTCTTCCTCCGATTGATAGAAATTCTCTCCTCTTTTTCATCCACTTCTTGAGGGAGGTGGTGACACACAACGATCAATCTTGAAAGATCATTCTTTCGTCTAAGGATGTCTAACTGCCGCACCTAAAATCTAAATTCGGAGGGAGGAGGGGAAGACAACAAGGTGGGTAGTTTATCTGTCGCAAATGCCTCCTAAAGAGTAATGGAGGTGGGCAAAGGTAGACTCAAGCTAATATTATGCTCGTGAGATGGAGAGTAAGAGCTATTAAATGACAGTTAGAACTAATCTCCAACTTTTATCCCTTCTTCAAATGAAGATGCCATATTGTTCCCCTATCGTTATAGTTTAAATAGCGAACGACCAAATTCACGACATCAAAACAATCTCTTGAAGCAATTACTGTCGTGGCAAATTAAATTAAATGAAATTCAGATAAACGTGAAATGTAATGTTTTAACTGTTTACTTTATCTATAATCTTCTAAACTTGTGAACTAAGAACATTAAACAAAAGAAAATGTAAAAATCCTGAAACTAAATCTTGAACCTCCATCACATATAATTCACAAGCAAAAAGTGTGTCATACTCGTTAAATAAGTATAGATAGACACATTTTATCCTCTAAGCACTTGTGGGTTCATCACTAACCCAGATAAGAAATAATAAAACTTGGATAATGAGAAACTAAAATCACAACAGAGAAAGCTAAAGTTGATGGAC